TAATTTACAGTTTCAAGGTGGACATTTCTCAAATCCCTATAGTTGTGTTATCAGGTTATTAATTAATTATGCTGACTTTATTTGTAAACAAAACTTGACTGAGATAAATACAGGATTTGTAAATGTGAACATTAATTATCAGGTTATTAATAATAAGCATCTCCTTTTTTTAAGTCATATTTTCACCTGAAGTCTTTGCATTGTGTTTATTTAGTTCTATTTCCCTTGGGTACAGGACAGGGAAGGCAAAGACAATCTTTTCACCAAATGAAAGCAAGAGGACAGGCCATTAGTGAACCAGTAAACCTAGATCTGTCAGTTGCCATTTTAAAGTCAGCCCCTCTGACAATACAGCTCTTTCAGTTCTGCATTGGGAGGTCATGGTATGAGTGAATTTTCAGAAAAATGCTGTACGTTATTCGACTGCTTATGAAATTGTTTCTGATATCAATGCAGAAAAGAGTTATCACAGAGTCAATTACGTAAAGTTTTATGGATTATTCTTTCTTCAATTACTTTTTTTAAAGTGGTTGCGGATTCAACAGTAATCTTCAAAAAGAAATATATGTGTGTGTGTGTGTGTGTGTGTGAAAAGGAAACATTGCAGTACTATGGAAAAGAGTTGGGGAGTTGGTGGTTAAAACTATATATTTAATTAATCCGAAAGGGTCGCAGTAGATTGAGAAGCAGAGAAGCTGGCTGGGAGTTTTAAACCTGAGGCAAAGCAGTATCATCACTGGCAGCAGGATGTAATTACCTATGACAAATTGATGGCTGCAGTTTAAAAGAATAATAAGTCAATGAGGATGGCATGGCAGCTCAGTGGTTAGCACTGCTGCATCACAGCGCCAGGGACCCAGGTTCAATTCCACCCTCGGGTGATTGTCTGTGTGGAGTTTGCACATTCTCCATGTGTCTGCGTGGGTTTCCACTGGGTGCTCTGGTTTCCTCCCACAGTTCAAAGACGTGCAGGCTCGGTGGATTGGCCGTGCTAAATTACCTGTAGTGTCCAGGGATGTTTGGGTTAGACATGGGGAAATGCAGGGGTAGGGGAATGAGTCAGGGTGGGATGCTCTTCAGAGGGGTGTTGTGGACTTGTTGGGCTGAATGGCCTGTTCCCACACTGTAGGGATACTATGAGCTATGAAAAGGGAGTCTAAAGGGATAATGAAAAACTGAGCTTTCGGAAAGAGCCACCAGTTATCTTGGTTTGTGTTTGGGGGTGAAAAATATTTGTTGACTTAATTTTTATTGCTGGTCATTGTTTTATTACACAAAGCAATAGGTTTTTGCTGCCGCTTGAACTGGACAGTGATTGACTGGACTTTAGCAGAAGTTACCATTTGTCACAGAATTTCCATGGAACAAGATGTAATACTAAACTTAACAAAGAAATGTTTTTTATTTCAAAAATATACTTTATTCATAGAAATATCTTTATATACATAGTCACTAAAGCAGTTCAGTTCCGTAGAGTGGCATATGATGAAACAAACAAACACTGCAGTTTGACTCTATCCAACAAACAAACCCAATGCATTTCTTACATGTACAAGACTATATTTACATATACTTGAGGGACCTGGATAGTCCGATAACTGAATGGACTCCCATTTAACTTCAGCAGAAAGACCTTAGAGAGTGGTCTTTTCCCACTGTGCCTTGGCAGCAACGACCCAAGCTTTAGTGCGTCCCTCAGCATGTAGTCCTGGGCCTTGGAATGTGCAAGTCTGCAACACTCAGTTGAGGGCAACTCCTTGCTCTGGAAGACCAACAAATAACTTAAAGAAAATTTATCTTACCTATTTTGTCAAGGACAAATTTCCATTTATCTAGTACACACTGTCAGCATGCCCCAAAGCACTTCAAAACTAATTACTTTTGAAGCAAATTTACTGTGGTTAGGTTGGGAAGTACTGCAATCATTTTCTATACAACACAGTCCAACAAACAGAAACTGAAACGTGCGACAATAATTCTCTTCTGAGGCCCAAATATTGGCCAGAAGAATATCCACCTCTTCTTTGAGTATGTTATATATGCATTATGTAATCCCCAAACAGGCACAGAGGACATTGCTCTAATGACAAACTCATTGCAAAGTTGATCTTCCCTGATCATCAAGTGGACATTCCTAACAAAATTTACTCAGTAAATAATTAGAATATCTGTCAGTGAACAAAGCAGTGTAACAAGGAGAGTGATAGACAATGATGAATTAATTCAATCAGATCCACCCTGATATAATTGAATGGCAGAAGGGGTTTAATGGTCTAACCCTACTTCTACTGCATATGCAGTTTCAGTTGGAGATTTCGGTAGGAATTTCAATCTTTAGATTGTAAAATTAAACACTGTATGGGAGCAAATTGCCAATTACATTTTAAACAGTGTGATTAATCTCTAATTTTAGTATATTGTTTGTTTACAAAAATTTATAAAAGTTGTGTTTTATGTCCCAATGATTAACTTAGTAACTACAAGATAAAGATATGGAGGCCTAAGGGAGGGTGCAGAGAGATTTACCAGGATGACACCAGTGATGAGGGACTTTTGATGCATGGACAGGCTGGGATCATTATTCCAATTGCAAAGAAATTTAAGGAGGATTTACATCGATAGCACTTCATGACCTCAGGGGTCTCTAAGAACTTAACAGCCAATGAATTAATGTTGGGTGCAATCACAATATGATATAAGAAATGTGTCTGACAATTTTCATACAGCAAGCTCCCAGAAACAGTAATGTAACAATGATCAACACTATGTCTGTGGCATGTTGATCAAAGGGCAAATATTGGCCAGAGCACCATGTGTAACTTTCCTTTCAAAATAGTTTCATGGGATCTTGTATGGAAAACTCTGAAAACAAATGGGATCTTGGTTTAATGTTTCATTCAAAGTCAGCCCCTCTGACAATACAGCTCTTTCAGTTCTGCATTGGGAGGTCATGGTATGAGTAAATTTTGGGAAAAATGCTGTACGTTATTTGACTGCTCATGAAATTGTTTCTGATATCAATGCAGAAAAGAGTTATCACAGAGTCAATTACATAAAGTTTTATGGATTATTCTTTCTTCAATTACTGTAAAAAAAGTGGTTGCAGATTCAACAGTAATCTTCAAAAAGAAATATGTGTGTGTGTGTGTGTGTGAAAAGGAAACATTGCAGTACCATGGAAAAGAGTTGGGGAGTGTGGCTAATTCAATAGTTCTTTCAGAGAGGTAGTACAGCCATAATAGGTTGAGTAACTTCGTTCTGTGCCACACAAATCTGTAAATTCACAACACCACAGCAGTATCTAATCATTTGATGGTTTCCTTTGGTGAACATTTGTTTATAATTCAACAGAAAACTATAGAAAGATTATAAATAAGGGCAATATTTCCCTGAGGACAGTTTTTCTGTGACAGTGTATGACAAGGCTATAGTTCGTATGGGTGAAGCTTGGGAAAAGTGCTGTACATTATCTGACTGCTTATGAAATTGTTTCTGATGTCAATGCAGAAAACAATTATTCCAGAGACAATACATACAGTTTTATGATTATTCTTCTTTCTTCAATTATAGCATTTAAGTGTAAGAAACAAGTACAAGTATCATTCACATTTGCCTTACATTAAACCTTCAAATGTGTGGCATTTGCTTTGATCAATCTGATTCCTCTACTCACAAGTGCCAATCTGCAATGATCTAAGTGGTAGTAGCATTTTCAGAGGCTAAAACCAGCATATTCAATGCTTTGATTTAACTGGGGATTGACTCATGACCATTAGGTGTTCTGCAGGCCCAGAATTTGCTGGAGTGTGCTCCATTCATTAATGCTTACCCCAATCTTCAGCTCAAAATGTTGCTGCCCCGCAAATTACTGTGTTGATGAAGGGGTACCTGGGACCTTGACAAACAACCGCACTGAGCTCTTAACTGATCAGATATACGGATGGTTACGGAATCAGAGAGATGACAGGGAAAGAAACTCTGTGATTTAAAATCAAGTCAAGAACAGAAATAGAAACATACAACGGGAAATAAAGATTACGTTAATAGAGAATACAACGACAGAAAAGGTAAAACAATGAAAATAAATTTTGATTTAAAAACTTTAAGGATCAAATTACTACTTCCGTAACGAGATTTAAACATTTCATATTTTCCCTTTCTAGGCTAGACAAGTGTGAGAATATAAATCGTGGAATTACGTTGATAAGTACCAACCCTGGCTTTCCGCAACAAATTTAATTTGTAATGAATATTTAATTATAGTAATAACTTGAAATTAACAAGGAGACAGTCATCCTTGTTATCATTTCCGCATAATTATTAGTGGGAGAGTACATATCTTCCAGCAATTTCAGGTGATTCACAATTCACACCATTTCAGCTCTATGACAAAAACAATTGCTGCACAATTTACATTCTAGTAATGGCACATGCATTAAACCTTCCATTGTTTTGCTAATTATAGACCAATCACAATAATTCGGCAAACAAATGTCAGAGTTCAGGCAGGACCATGGCGCGAATAAAAATAGTAAGAGTCAATGGGGTCTTGACCACTTGCCTCTACACTTCGCTTTCTAAAACGTAAGGCCATCAATAGCGCCAGTGATTCACCAGCATCCAAACATTAAGGGGCACCAGTTTCAATTCTTATTGCTCGTGATTATGATAGTTAGTAGTCCAAATACGTTCCTCAAACCTCAAGGGACTTCCTACGTAAATCTTCACGCTTTAAAATGTTCAGCTGGGGGCAACAGTGCAGTGTTTTGTGGATGTATACAGCACCATTTCCGCAGGGGCAGGTTAAGTGGCACTGCCACCTGCTTGAACTGGGAATCCCTGCAGCGGCCGTCTTTTTGTGACGTCACAGCGATTGTGGAGGTGGGGGAGTCCATTGTGACCTCACAGAGCTGCTGCGCGTAGAAACGGCGGTTGCTAAGATACGAAGCGCTGGAATCCCGTTAGCGTTCTGCCACTTCTTCTCCCGCGGCAGTCGGTTCCCACGGACTTTGGAGGGATCAGCCCAAGCGGCGGTGACTGGGGGGGGCCCCGGTGACCGCTCGGATAGAGCTAGAGGCAAGAAAGGCTTCTACTGTAACCAGGGCAACAGGTGGCGTTTAACCGAAGCTCTCCGAAACCTCCGTGTGCGTGCACAATTAGTCAACAGCTTATGTTTTTTATTTATCTTGAAGTCACAGTCTTATCCTAAATATATATATATTTTAGCTGAACTTGCTTGCTTTAAATAAATAATCACATAGATCCCTATATTTATTTACTGTAAATGCGTATTTTTCTAAGTCAGCCAACGTTAATGCCCCAAAGTTTTTTTTTATAAAATCGCCTAAAGGTTATATTTTTAAAAAATGTCCAACGTTTTTGAAACTGAATACGAGAAGAACCCAGCGCCCTGTGGCGATATTGCGGCACTGACCGGCAGATCGTCCCTCGATTTGTCAGAAGTCTCCAGATCGTTAGAAAGTGAGTATCTCGTGGTGAACTCCCCGTTAGGACATTTTCTTTCACTTGTTTTAATTCACGCGGCGCTCTGTAAACGAGGGTGAGCTGTGGGGGCTGTATAATCCGAGAGGGCGCTGCTACATGTAAATGTTCATGTGAATGAGTGCTGGCTGTTTGGATATTATTCGGGTAGGAGGAGCAAAAGAGAAGCACTTTCTGTCTGAAACCAGGCCGCAATTCTACAAACCTTCTCAACGCCAGTTAGGATTAGGTGATAAATGCTGGCCCAAATCCCCTGATTGATTTTTTAAAACTCTTGTGATCCTATGGAAGGCTGTAAGGAAAAGCTCGTGCTGGAGCGCTATAGGTTTCCGATTTCTAGTGAGTGTACGTTAACTCCAAGCTTTTGTTTCTTACTACTCATTTTTTAAAAAGAAACCAAGGTTTTCCTTTCACCAAGAGGCCGTGTCTGTCTTTTGAATGAGTCGTTAATTCACCTGGACCTCTGAGGCAGATTTAATAAAGGACAACCAGTGCAGATTTAAAGCAAATCGCAACTGACTGATTTGATCATATTTTTGAAAGTAGCAGAAAGAGTTGATGAATGTTGTGCAATAGATGTGCATGTATATTTGGCCATTCGAAAAAACATTATGAAAAGGTGGCATATAATAGATTTATTTTGAAAAGACCATGGTATGAAAGTGCTTGTGGTGATTTGAAAGATGTATTCTAAGTGCATCTGATCTCTCTAAAAGTTGTGTTCTTTAAAATCCTGGGATACAACCCAGCAGCTTCAAGAACATGGTGCAGGGCTGGATGAACACAGCAGGCCAAGCAGCATCATAGGAGCAGAGAGGCTGACGTTTCGGGCCTAGACCCTAAACTTCTATTTTCCCGAAGAAATCATATTGGAAACGTCAACTCCGACCCTCTCTCCGCAGATACTGCCAGACATGTTGAGATTTCCCAGTACTTTCTACATTTTAATTTAAAATGTAAACTCGGCATTTCGGTAAAAGAAGGAGGCAAGAGGTTGATAGCAAAGTGCCCGATGATGAAGGGTCTAGGCCCGAAACGTCAGCCTCTCTGCTCCTATGATGCTGCTTGGCCTGCTGTGTTCATCCAGCCCTGCACCTTGTTGTCTCGGATTCTCCAGCATCTGCAGTTCCTACTATCTCAGCTTCAAGAACATATCAGTCTTGAGTCCCATTAATTTGCGTAGTCCATTTTCTCTAGTGATATTTATTGTGTTTATCTAGTCCAAACCCTTACTCCCTGCTATTTTTTTTGTTATGCTATTAGCATTCTCTACATTGAAGACGGATGCAACATATTTTCTCAACTCCGCTGCCATTTCCTGGCTCCCCATTATCATTTCCCCAGATTCGCTCTGTAAGGGACCTATGTTCACTGAGCCCCTCTACTCCTTTGGCTACATTTCTGTTTTTATGTTACTTGCTAGTTGCCCTCAGTTTATTTTCTGCACTTTTTTTTGATCATATTCTGGTGGGAACATTTTAAATGCCAATCTTCTGATTTACCACTAATCTTTTGGCATACTGTATCAAATTGAAATAAAAAAGCATGT